CGTCTTCAATGTTTAACAAATAATTAATGCCGTATTGTGTACAATTTTTAAAGTTTGATTTGTAGCCCAATTTTTTGCATTCAATTGGACAGGTACGCAAAGTTGCAAAACAACCATAATTTGTTACCTTAAGTGAATTGGAAGATCATAAGCGTTGTAATTGGCAATGACACATTGATCGCCAATATTGTACACAATACACACCGTATGTATGCTAACACACGAGCAGCCACGAGTCAAATAACAAAGAGGTAAAAATATAGTACTTACCAAAGTGAATCACAGCTGAGCGGTGTTACCAATGGTATGAGTATTTCCCCTCTCCAATGGCCTTTTTATACAAAAATCACCGAGCTACATAACCTTCGATACAATACAGCGAATGTTCGGGGCGTTGCCTATATACTTCCTCATCAATCATCATATAAAAGTGTCATATTGACCAATGTTTCCGGAATTCAAGTTTATTGTTCCCAGTATTGTTTTGTTCTCTCGTACTTGAACAGACTTGAATTACTAGGATCTAGAGAATGTGCCACATTTCAACTTTGAACACATATTTTATTAAATTCAACGTCGTCTTTGTGATTCTACTCTCACGTAACCAATCGTTTCATTTGTTTCCGATTCTCGTCTGGTATTGGAATTGTTTAACAACATTCTTTTAAAACACTGAACTCCGTATTTGCTGCAACTGGTTGGACATTTTTTATATATTTTTTTAATGAATTCGCTCAACATCATTACGTTCCTTCTACGTAATTTTATTTGAAAAACAGTGTTTTTAAGAATGACGATGAAGTTTTATTGAGGAGCATATAATTTCTTATACGTTTCTGAATTACGCATATAAAGGCATTATGTGCGCATGGTGTTTCGTTTAAGTACGAAGTTGACTATATGCCATATGAAATTGAATGTCACATGCTGCTAATGGTAGTAGAAACTTATTATACAACTGTTGTTCAAAATTATAATACCACTTGTTCCGATTATAGAAACAGTGCGCCCTCAAAAATCATACCCGGGGAATGTTCTACGTTATACGAGCATATATTTAAGATAGCTAAGGATGAAATATGGACATCTTTTCACGATTATTGTTCGACTATGATTTATCCATGTTTGAAGACCACACATTAGTATTTGTTGAATGAATACACACGTGCAGTGATTGTTATTTTACATACTAAGATAATCAGTGTACATACATTTATTATTTCATCAAGCGAAAACTCAGGTGTTTGTAAGAACAGCGTTTCGAGTTGTGATAAATCATAGTTCATATTACATTTGTTAGGCCTAATAATAATGCATTTGTCACTATTCTGAATTAAAGATAATTACGTAGTCTAAGATGTGCTCATTAAAGCGCAAGTCACTGGGACACATTACAACTGAACATCTCGGTTTGTGCCCTGTTATCACGTATTACATGCAGTCATTATACAATTTATCAGTTTATTATGCAGTAAAATGATTATATAAATGTTTAAACAAAGTCTGAATCGGATATTGTATGTTGGCTAGGGGAAGGGGACATATGTGTAAAGCCAGCCGCACACTGCTCGCC